TCGATGGGGAGCCATTAATCAACAAAGCACATCTGACAACAGCAGCAAACACCGCAGAGTCTAACGAGAACCTCAATATCGCTGCTATTGCTGACTAAATAGCTCATAAAACGTGAATATTCCACACTTCTCAGAGTGGAAAACATTGATCTTGGTGCTCTTCTTCTGACTATATGCGGGGAATAATCTCTGAATTATAAAGTCCTTAGCTGTATGTATCAAGGTTAATACTAATTAATTTATAAAAAGGTAAAGCTGTTAACTTGTTGAGGCACAATGCAATGCTTGTCAAGGGCACATCACCAGCCAATCATTGCTTGAGTACTAAATGAAAAAGAGAGCACAGAGATCATCCATCAAAGCGTGGCAGTAACATCATGCAGATACATGTTTCTGCATGACTTTCTTTTAAAACTTAAATCAATAAGATTACTTTACGGATAATGCATGATTGGACACATGATTACTTTTATAGATTAAACAAACGCCGGCAGGCGCCTTTTTCATATTTTCAATTAGCCGACCAATTAGGCAGAGTTCCCTGAAGGAGTGTGTGTATGAAACATAGACGCAGGTGACCCAACCGCTACGGCTCTGCTTGCATCTAACAGTATTTTTTCATCTAATTTACAGCCCGCTGGCTTTCAAGTATCAGTGCAAATTGAAGTGAAATGTTCATTTAGTTGGTCACAGTTAGCAGAGTATTTAGTGTATGGTTGTGTGTTACATTGAGACATTGCATATGAGACACAATTGGATTGTGTGTGAGACAGGATTATGACAATGTTTTTATGTGTGCGTCATAATGACATCCAAGTATGACAGTAAGCCAATTACAGCGGCCTGGGAAGACGGACGACTCAGGTGTCAATGTGTATATCGCGCTGACACACTTACATACAAATCCATACGAACAAATCAACTCAGATTATCCGATTTCCATGTCTTGTTCATTCAGGTTCCTTAACAAGTCCAAACAAACTGTAGATATAACATCTAAACCACAATACCTCATATATGATCTTTACACATACATGACATACTCCTTTATCCAACAATAGTGATTCCCTTTAGCGATCAGCAGCTTGACAGTGCTGACTATTGCAGTTTACCTGGGCCGGGTCCCCAGCGTAAATCCCAGCAGCCCACTGGCTGGGTCAAATTCATTTCCTGCACCACACATGAGAAAAGCCCACCGGCGACACACAGGAAAATGACTGCAAACAAGTGTTACTGCTGTTCAATATCTGTACAACTGCACAGGGTCAGAGAGGCTGTGAATGAAAGGTCACATTCTAGGAGGGCGCGTGTGTTTTTGTTTAAGTAAAAACCAGGTGTATGTATGGAATGGAATGTGTGTATATGAGGAAGCCTGCTCTGTATTTATCTGCATTTACAGAGCTGCTACCTGAGGGCATTCCACTCAGACATTTACATGCAGGCACCCAAGCATTTATACAGATATATGTGTACACGTGTGTGTGTGTGTGTGTGTGTGTGTGTGTGTGTGTGTGTGTGTGTGTGACAGAGTTTCTTTAGCCCATATCATCCATCATGTAGCGAGACGAACTGTCATAGCGATAGTGTCCAGCTGGCACCCACTAGCCTCAGACACACACGCCTCAGACACACACGCCCCCCCCACACACACACACACACACACACACACACACACACACACACACACACACACACACACACACACACACACACACACACACACACACACACACACACACACACACACACACTTAACAAGACAAATCACCGATGGCTGCTGGTCATACATGAGCATAAACCACGGGGAGCCGGGAACTTTTAGGGTTAACCTTAAATCAGCCCCAGGGAGTCCATGTGTAGCAGAATTATGTAAAAACACACATGTCGTGTGTGTGTGTCGTGTGTGTGTGTGTAATATGGGGGGAAGGAGAGACGTAACAGAATTAATGCTGACTAGACAAGGTACATATGGGTGCATCTTTAAATGAGTACATTTTTTAAAAATGAGAAGAGAAATAAAGAGGAGGGGAGGAGAGAAAGGATAAAAAAAAAAAACCTTAAGAATAGTTCTTGTTAAACAAGTCATCAATCAGGTTTCTAAAGTAGTATTATTACGGTGTGGTCCGGGGCCTCTGCCAGGGGGGGCTCTTAAAAGAGGTTTTGTTATTGAAACTATTGGGGTTTACTTTGACCCAATGCGAATATTTCAACAAATAATATTACGTTTTTAAATCCTTCATAGTTAATTCTATATAAGAAGACTATACAATAAATAAAATAAAAAATTAGGCTTTGTTAAAATATTCCAAGGGACATACATGAGAGGGGCCACAACTCCCAGGTATATTTTCTACATTTTAAAGGGTCCTTGGCTGAATTATTTTTAGGCCCCCTGATACAAACCACTTTATTTGAAGGTAAAACAAAGTGACAGTGATACCTGTTTTGCTGGTTAAAATACCTTTTTGCGGCAAGCACAATTGGTCAAAGATGAACCAGGTAGCCAGTCTGTTTACTGGGATGCTTGGTGTTCTATGAGGCTTCACTAAATGCTAACCACAGCATGCTAACAGGCCTACAATGACAGTGGTAACATGTAAGCCATCTTAGTTTAGCTTGTTGTAGTGCCAATATTCACTTATTGGCACCAAACATAAAAAACTTGCTGATGGGGAGATCAAATGGTTTGCAGGACACTTCGAAAATGTTGATAGCATTTTAAAAACCATTACAGTTTTTCCTGAGTGTGACATTGATTAGTGTGTACTTAAAATGCATGGCAATCCACCCAATAGTTGTTGAGACATTCCACTAATACAGTTTCAATGTCATGGTAGTGCTATGGGAAAAGTCATGAAATCAAGTGATTAGGATTTGTCCACTGGGCACTAGATATTGGTACCAAACAAATCCATCAACAACAGACAATGCCCTCCCATACACCATGATTATCCTTTAAACTAGCAGTAGAAGTGAAAGTAAAGCAGAGGGAGCAGGAAACAGACCTTAAAGAGGAAGAGGGACTAGAGAGTATCTGCCACATGCAGCTTTCTGGGAGATTGACTTATCAGCTTCTAACAGTCTGATGCAATTCTTCCTGAGCTGAGAGAGTCTGTAAGTGTGTGTGTGTGTGTGTGTGTGTGTGTGTGTGTGTGTGTGTGTGTGTGTGTGTGTGTGTGTGTGTGTGTGTGTTTCTTTGTCTGTGTGCTTCTCTGATGGATCTCCACATGTGGAAGGCAGCATGCTGAGAGCAGCTCTGCTCTGTGTGGAGCATGACTCTGAACCATTTCTCCTCTCTTCTTTCACCTCCCAACTCCCTTTTCTCCTATTCTTCCCTCTCTTCTTCCTTTACATCTCCACTCTCACCCCCTTTCCTCCCTCACATACTGTTACTTCTTCATTGTATCTCTTCCCTCCTATCTACTACAGATGGCTTCATTTCTATGCCGCGGTGGGAATCCTTTTTATTTCTCACTGCCTCTCACTCTTGACTCTCTTTCTCTCTCACCCTTTATGCCTCCAGGACCTCTCAGCCCTTTCAGAGTCTTATCTCCCATCATCTCTATGTCACTATCTCTATTTCATCTATTACTCTCATGCATTTCCCACTCCAGTTTCCATTTTCCATTCTTCTCTTCTCCCATCACTGCTACACCATTTCCTTTTTATCTCTCACATTTTCTAGCCTCAGTCTGTCACTCGCCTGAAGCAGCACTGAGAAGGCAGTTTAGCAGATGATAATTGCTCTCGTGATACATCTCATAATCTTCTTTATTGCTCATGGTCTTTCTCTCAAGCCAATTACTTTGATCTTTTACACAGGGGTTCAACACACCTCGGGTTTATACGGGGATTCCTTGTGTTATTAGGGTGGGGATAACTTGTGAAACCTAGGTACATTCAGAGCTCGGACACTGAGTGATGTACAGTGTTTAAATTCAAAACATTTATTATTTCGCAGATAAAACCTCATCATATGCCTATAAGGAGTAATTCAATTCTAAATGTTTTGGTCATTTAAACAATCTATTTCCTGTTGCATTTTAAATTATTGTTTTTCTTCTTCTTTGCTCTTTTAAATTAGGTTTTCTTTTTTCCATTAAATTAGCATATAAAAGTCCCCTATTATAATGTTTTTCATTACTTTATTTTAGGTCTCAGTTATATACAAAACATGTCTCTGAAGTGTTTGGCTCGAAATACCAAATAGATCATGCATTGTAGCATCCCATAATCCCTTCTGTTTCAGCCCTGTTTCAAAAGTGCTGATTCTCTGTCTTTTACTTTAGATGACAATAAGGAGCCACTCCCCACGCCCCTCTGAGAGATATTTGGTTAAAAAGAACACAATAGCCGCTTTCACACCAAGTATTTTGCCGCACTTAGTTCCCAGCACTTAGTTCCCCCATGGAACTAAAGAGCCGATTGCATTCACACCAGAATAAGTTCCCTGAGGGAAGATTACGCAAATGAAGCCGCTGACGTCACTTCTTCTTCTTCTGCTGCTTTGGGTTTACTGGCAGGCCGCAAACCACTGAAGTGGTTTGCGGCCTGCCAGTAAACCCAAAGCAGCAGAAGAAGAAGAAGTGACGTCAGCGGCTTCATTTGCGTAATCTTCCCTCAGGGAACTTATTCTGGTNACGACACACACACACACACACACACACACACACACACACACACACACACACACACACACACACACACACACACACACACACACACATATATATATATACATGAACAGCATTCACCAATATAATGGTTGTAGAAACCATTAGGAATGGCCAACTGGTTTCACATGCAGTCAACTATTTAGGCAGAATCCACTCTTGGTGGAAAATGGCAGCTGTGCATTGTTGTGTTGAAAATAGCACAAATACCCTAGAGGGTATTCTTAGCTACAGTCATTATAGGTGCTACAGCAACCATTAGGAGCACTTCTGCTGAGTTACATTACTGAAAGTCCTCAGAGGCGTTATGGTTTTAATGCAACAATAATGAGTCAGTGAGTGCTCAAATGTTGAATCAGAATCTGGTTTATTGCCCAGGAGGTTATCAAATTCAATGTATTAACCTTGTTATGTTGGTGCATAACATAAGTTAAATAAAGAATTAAATCTAGAATATACTTAAAAAATATGTATATTATTTTTTGAATTAAAATAAGTGCTGTGATGTTTAAAAGTGCCATGGTTAGCATTACGAGATGTGAAAAGAGAAAAAGTCCCAGATATGTTTGTTAATATATAAACAAGGATGTGAAGACGATAATGTCACGTGTAGTGCCTATGGAAGGAGATAAGAGTATTTCATTGAGGGTCCAGGGAAAGAAAATAAGAAATGTTTCCAAGAACAATTTACATTTTGTTCAAAAAGTCAAGCCATGAGTGAGAACAGTGAATAACTCCCAGACCTGAAACTGACCAAAGGAAATGAACAGCTTAATTTCAATGTTCCTTTAGATTCATGCAAACTATGAGTCTAACATTACAAATATCACTTTCAGGGCTGCCTGGTGTCCTCTGTGTTCTGCCATTACTCAACATCTATCCCTCATTAAAAACAATCTCATCTTTTCATTCTTTTCTCTTTCTAGGCAGAAAAAGGCGGTCAGTGGACATTCAGCAGGAGACCACCAGAACCTCATGAATGGAGTGAGTTGAACTTCAGGTTAAGGCTTGCAATAGTAGTGCATGCATGAACAGTAGATGTTAAAGTAATACGTTTTGGCCTTTTAATGGATTCACCTATTTGCTCTCTTGACAAACTACATTAGAAGCTACATCAAAAAGACGCTAATCAGCTAGCCCTGCTCGGTAAAGTAGTAACACAATCAGCAAATTTACATCTCTAAAATGCACCTGTTTAGTCCAAGGAAACCACCAAAGACTAGGAAATATCCCAAAATGTCAAACTACTCCTTTAACGAAAATAAAAATTAAAGGCAGATTGAAAGAAGAAAGGCAAGGTTGAAGCATCATAGAGCGCAGATTTGACAAATAACACACATTTTTCATGAAGTTTTGTTTTTTCTGTGTGTGGGTGTTTATATGTGACGTGAGAAGCAGAGAGGAACAGCTGTGTGTTTTGAGTCTGACTGCTGCAGTGTGTCAGGCAGATGAATAATTACATGTGTGTGAACATTAACACGCATATTCACACACGTACACCTTCACACATTCTCTCACATATGCATAACAATCATCGTTATCAGTAACCATTAATGTTTTTGAAGCTATCTTTCTAGAATATTTTAGTTATATTATTGAAGTATGGACGTATTTTTCTTTTATTCAATTCAATAAAACAATTTAGAAAACTGAATATTCATTATTTGTACAGTTGACCTTTGCCCTTTCTATGTTCGCACTACTCATAACGGGACTATGTCCTCTTGAACATCATGTCACAGATAGTTGTTACCAACTCCCATAATACTCATGCTTCAGTAACCAAGCAACATTTAAGTGTGACAAATGCCTGGCATTCACATACTAAGTGACATCCACTTACTCTCTTATCCTGTCACTTCCTCTGGTTGGTGTGTGTGTGTGTGTGTGTGTGTGTGTGTGTGTGTGTGTGTGTGTGTGTGTGTGTGTGTGTGTGTGTGTGTGTGTGTGTGTGTGTGTGTGTGTGTGTGTGATCCTCAGAGCCTTTTTTGCGTTTGATGGATATCTTCTCTCTATAACCCGTAATTGCTGGGTGGTCAGATTGTTTCAGGAGGGGCCCATTTAAATGACGGACCTTGTCACAGCCTGATAGACTAAATGGGGGTCTTTGCGAATGAGTAGAAGGGCTTTTTTCTTGCACACAGACAATCAGTTTGGCTGTCCCAGCGAATGCATCTGAGCACGGTGAGGGAGCCCTATTCTCCCCATCTCAATTTAATTACAGATAGATCCCATGCATACAAAAGATTAGAGAAAAAACAAACAAAAAAACGAATTCATGGATTGTCGTGCCCTCACAAAACAAGTTAATTCCTGTGATATTTGAATATGTCTTTGGCACTACTCATGTTTTTTGTAAAAACTGTCTGACAAAAGATGGGAACTGAAAGACGCTGAGACTATGACATCATCTTTTAACTATTTCCCACCCTTCGTCATGGAAAAAACAAAAAACATAGAGACATTAGGGTCATAAAATAGTTAAAAGATTACATCATGGACCCCAGTAGTTATGAGAGTAATCGACCACTAGGTGGTGTTATAGAGCTTCTAATTCACAGCATACTGCTCACACAGGAGGAAAACAACAACCTTAACAAAGAGAATCGTGACTTGCTGCGATAATACAATTTCACAGTTTTTCCCTCAGCTCTAACTATTGAGTGATGAAGCGACTTTCCACTTTCCCTGTAGCAGACTAAAACGTTTATTTTTAAAGTGCATGCAGTGTTGATTGGTGTAGCGTATTTGCAGCTCACTTTGCTGATTCTGCCTTGTGATCCAACACATAGAGAAACAGCCTTCAACTGGAAGACATGGTTTAAAAGCTCAATGTAAAAAAAAAGACTCTGCTGAAGTGTCCTTGAGCAAAACAGAATCCCTGCCAACTGCAGGGTTGTTGTTCTGCAGCTTTGACTTTCCAGCAAAAGGGAGAGAAGAGAATATACAGAATCAAATCGCTCAATTTCCTCAAAAAATCTTCCTTTTTGGTTTATCTTTTTTACACATGCAACACTGCTAATGCCTGTCAGTTTACCCTCCTCCATCATTCTGACTATGTTTCAGTGTCTCTTATTAATGAACAAAAGTGACAGTAAAAACATAAAGCTAGATGTGTAGAAGGTTTATAAACTGTTGTTTTTCATAAGCCCAATTACAATTATCAATTGAGATAGGAATAAATATTGTACCTCCATACATCAGTTTTCTTTGTTACTAAAATGGTTAGTTCTCTAAATGTCCTTTGTACTGTAGGTGGGTAAAAATACTCCACATTTAATAAAGCATGTGTACTATACTGATAATGTGATAACAAGGCATGTGAGAGGACGCTATAAAAAAGCTGACATTATTAAAAAGGGAAGCCAGACAAAAATTGTAATCAGAGCTACACAGCTGACAGTTCCCCAACAAAATACCTTCTATGACTGACTTCTATTCAGCACACTTTCATTTGGTGTGATGTGAAACCGAAATAAACTTGAAATGTTTTCACTTTGGTCCGCTCATTCTGCCCTGCAATGACAATCATCTTCTCCATTTTGTGCAGGTGTCAGAGAAAGACACGATCAGCCAATCAGCAGACAGTCCTGTGACGGACTTGGCCGTCAGTAGCTCTCACAATGGTCCTTTAACCAGCGGTACAAGTAAGTCAAGACAGTTAGCTTTAGCATAGCATATCAGTTCTCCGTTGTTCATGACGTTTTTTAACTCTATGATATTGTCACTGCTATCCTTAATAATAATTTTTAATTTAGCTCCCTAACATTAACATTTGCTTAGCAGCTGGTGTTATGCAACGTCTTTGTTGACTCTCAGCTTTGGTTCATTTTTAACCTCAGCTGTTGTTTTTGATGGCTATTTCTGTGGAATTTTTCTCTGTCATTTTTTCCTGTATGTTAACTAAATATCAGTCACACATTTAGTCACCAAAAGAGAAGCTTTTTATTCACTCATTCTCTTTTTTTTTCTATATCCCACCAGTCCTCTCAGACACACAGGACAACAGTCCCCAGCCATCAGAGGAGATGCTCTCCAGCCAATCAGAGCTCAGGTCCTCTAAGTGTCCTCAGGACCGTGAGCTTCCCAGCATTCCTCCCAACAACGGCCTTATTGGGGAGGGACCCCCGGCCTCAGGGGACAGCACCTATGAGGTCAATGTTTAAAGTCACCTCACTACAGCAGAATCATGCTGTTACTTGCACTCGGCTTGAATGTGGCTGTTTCAGAAGATTAAAGCGCTGATCGGCTGATGATTGATCGTTTGATTGATTGAGCTCAGGGTCAAAACACAGAGAGAATTAGATTTTATTTTTCACACAAGGTAGATTCATTTATTTGGATCGAACTCAATTCATAAATCCAGGGCTGAAACTCAATAATTATCGATCCAACTGCTAATTATTCTCTAGATTAATCGATTAATTATTAGGTGTTTCAAACGTTGGAAAATAATGGAGAATTCCACAACTTCTCAAAGTGCAAAGGTCTTTTTTGTCAGTCCAAAACCAGAATATATTTAGTTTAATTTCGATATTATTCCCAGAAAAGCAAGAAATCTCCATATTTGAGAGACCGACTACAGCATTTTCTGTCATTTTGGATGAAAACGATTAAAAAACAAACAAATGAAAATGGCAATTATTTCTAGACTAATCGACCAAACGATCAGGCGACTAATACATATTAATAAGTTATTAACTGATGAAGAATTTTAAAGAATTTCCTGAACTGTGATCTATAAAATATATCTTATCTTAACAGCTGTTGCTCTATTTGTTTCTGACCTCCAGGTGGTGAAGGAGATGGCGGTGTCGTCACGTGACATCAGCGTGGAAGACTCCCTGTACGAGACGGTGAAGGAACTCAAAGAGCCCCCCCCACAGCTGGGCCTCCCCAACGGTACCATCCAGCTGAGCTCAGACAAACCTACCACTCACCCCCCCGCAATTCTCAACGGCCACCTGAGCCCCTGCACTCCTGAGCGGGGGCCCCTATGCGCTGGGGTGGAGTACGCCTCCGTGGACCTGAATAAGAAGAGCCGCCACAGCGCAGACCTGGAGGCCAAACGGCGCTCTGATAACGCCAGCCTGCCCCCCCGCAGGCCTGTAGAGGAACCAGAGGAGGACTTACCGCCCCCGGTACCAGAGAAGGTTCTGGATGAAAATGACAACCAGCCAGTGGTGATGAATGGGATGACCGGCGCTGGGCTGCACAATGGAGAGGTGAGGAGATGTGCAGCTTAAAGGACACCTATTATGCAAAATCCACTTTTTCATGTCTTTTATACATAAACATGTGTCCCCTATGTGTAAAGAGATTCTGAA